ATAAGACTATTAAGTCACGACAGTTTTATGTTTTCATAAATAAAAGCAAATCATTTGTACAATTAATCATTCGAAATTTGTCAGTTCAATGAAATGAATAGAAAATAGAAAACAATGGACTTCATTAACTTTACAGCTTAGTTTTAAGATTCATATTTAAGTACGTGTGAAGAGAAAACTAGATAAATCTTTGTAAAATAAGTGAATGTTTTGTTGACGATAGAGGATTGATTATTATTTACTCGAAGTTCTTCATCAACTGACTGCAATATCTGTTTTCACTGACAACAAACAAGTCGTTTATGGAAATCATTTCACAACAAAAGCGTCTGATACCAAATCAGATGGTCAGTTTTCGTTGTTTGATCAAAAAGTATAAGTATAAAAAGCTTATTATCTAATATCAGAATGTGAAATGGACTCCAGCTCTTGACAGGTTATCCTTGTTTAAGTTCAGTGAACATTAGAACTAAAACTGACTTCTTGTCTAATCTATTTACATCATTTATTTGACAAAGTTAAATGTTCAATGGATAAATGAACTGACCTCGAATTACCTACTCTTCTGGATATAATTTTAAACTTTTTATGAACTCATGAAAATATTGTTTATTCTATTTCATTCCCTTACGTTTCCAGTGGAGTATAGGGTTTCAAGATAGAGCTACAAAGTTTCTGTAGCAGTGGTGTTTACTTTTACAGGATCGGTTTGCAAGCCTTACTTCCAGCCTTCCCTCTTTATCGGTGTCTCATTACTGGTTTAGCGAGGTAAAGAAGTGCGTCGGCCGGGGATCGAACTTCGGCTCATATGCATGGTTAGCGAGCATTCTATGACTAAACCACCAACGCGCTGACTGACGGAAATAATTTAACGCTAATTTAGAAATACATACTTCTATTCTATGAAAAAATAATGTTGACTATGTACCTTCTTTAACCGAAATTTATGTCAACCCTTTAGATTACCTTCACTTGTGAAATAAACCACTTTTATTTTTTTTTTCTCAGCGAAATGTCACCAGTATAAAATAATGTTCTTTTATTTTCATAAGGTCACGACGAAAGTAATCACAAGATATTTCCTTAAATAGGATAGCAAACACCAAAAAAGATATTGCAGTAGTGTAAAAGAATCGATAAAATACCTTAAAAACAGTCGGACGTAATATTTGACTTGATTACAGCGTACGTCTAGGCTCACTTAAAAAAAACAAAATCGGATAAGACCATTTATCTGAAGAAATTCTAATCGTAACTGATCACCTCTGTTCTATTCATCCGAGTAATTGTAAAACGAAGCGGAAGTAAATTTGTCTTGACAACAACCTATATCCTAATCTATGTTCTTAATAAAAAAAAACTCCATTTACATTAATCAACCGTTTTGATTCCTTAAACATTGTTTAAACTGATAAATTCAACAAATTGACTTTCCCTTAAAAGAGTTTACCCTAACTAATTTGTTACACAGTTGTCGATATTTTGAACAAGAATACAAATGTTTCTTTTATTATGTAATGCCTTATGAAATGCAATTAAATAAGGCTTAACACTCGTTTATTATCACTGATTGATAAGCAAATTATTGGGTATAGTGGTTATACGCAAAATATTTCTTACTGGTCTATCTCATTTCACAAAGTTTAAAGACACTGATTATTATTATTATATCATTATTCCCTTGGGTTCCGAGAGGAACATGTAGCCTCAACAATACATTTCCACTTTCTTCTATTTTCTGCCGTCCACTTCAGGTGACCAGCTCCACCATTATCCATAATCTGCTGTCTTCTCCTACAACTCACACGATCTCCTCCATGTCACCGTCGCATCAACGCCCTACTCGTCACTTCCCATTAAAGTCCCATTCGAGTGATGATCTACATTGAGCACGATGTCATTCGACGGCCTCCTCAGTGGCGTATGCCCAATAGATCCCAATTTTCTCCTACAAATTTACTGGTCGATCGGCTTTTGCTCGGTTGGTTTGTTCTCAGCCAGAGTTTCTTGTTACTTAGTCTTTCTGGCCATTTGTTCTTCAATATGGATTTAGTGGAGGGGACACCTGTTGATAAAAGTCTGTGACTTGTTGGATATCCTCTTCGTGACGCGCAGTGCAGGTTTCTGACCGACATTTAAGAAGTGACTGACTGACTGACTTAACACTGGCGCTGACAATCTGAGTCTTGTTCTTTATGCTGAGACGGAGGGCAGCAGCAGGTTTCCAAACTGCTTTCAGATTAATGAAGGCATATCTTCCCTTTCCGATTCTTCCTGGCTGACTTTGACATCTTCATTTGCTCCGCCAGCCTGTGGTTGAAACCATGCTTCCTAGCGGGATAAGCGAAGGAAGTAACCTCTGTCAAATCTCTCCCATCGATGGTGACTGGTGCTGGTTGTTATTGCTTTTGGTTGATTGGTTGTTTGCATCACCCCCATGTTGTCTATGTTCACTCACAGTGCTGTCTTGGCTGCCTACATCTCCTGGTTTTCGTCTGCCTGCAAGCCTTCATCTGCGAAATCCAGATCTTCTAGAGTCTTATTATTAGGTCAGTGCAGCATATTCCTGTCTCCTCGCTCCCCATCCACAGTCTCATGCATAATCCGGTCCACCACAATTAAGAATATCACCGGTGATAGCAGGCACTTAGCCTTGTCATACTCTCGTATACAATTCGAACGCTTCACTGAGTTTTCCTTTGTGGATCACCTGACAAGTGTCACTGTCATACAGCCAACTGTTGAATAAAATTGATAAAGATTCGGTCACTCACTGTAAGCCATAGTGTTGGAGTAGCTTCCAAAATACTTCTCACCCAACGTCGTTTGTCAGAAGCCTTTTCCAGGTCGATGAAGGATGTCAAAGTACAGGTTTAAAGATACCAAAACTACTCCGAATTTCATTTTGCTTTTTGATAACATCTTAGAAGAATAATTTGAATGTTGCATATTCCAACTACCCGTGAACCAGGTTAATAAAAAGACAGAAATTCATCATTAGCCCAGTAAGAGAACACTTTATTTTAGGAAACATTTTTCTTTGATAAATCTTATAAAATACCGCGAAAGTCTTGATCAGGCTAGTGAAAAGAACCTTGATTAAGATACTTAAATAATCGTAATTTAGGTTTTGCAGGGATTTTTATTAATCTCACTGTAGACATGCCTGAAGCACTAACAGTTTATAGGTTCATATAACCGCCATGTGTATGTAGTGAAGCGTAGATGTATAACCTTTATCTGTGACATAATCAGAATAAAAGGCGGGTTATTCTGAACATTTACCTTCTTATTCATTTGTATTCTTTCTCTTAATCTCTTGACATTTTCTATTCAACATATTTATTAGCACCGCATAATTCCTTCCTAGTCTTTCAATGTATTTTATTGGTTAACTGGAAAGTATCCTATATGTTCAACCTTCCCTAACATTTTTCTTTAAGGCCTATACTTTCTAGTTAAAGAGTCCTTCAAAATACAAGTATTCCTTCTTTGAAACTAATTTCTTTGTTCTCCCCAAAGAAAATGATAATTTTTTCCACCTATAAATTAATATATATATATCCATTTATCAGTTTTTCACAGTCACATAATTAGACTGTATGTGTAGTAAAAGAGTGTAACTCGCATATTCATTAGTGTATGCAACCATGTTGGAAAAAGAAATCACTTAAAGGACATTTTCATTTCTAATCGACAGAAGTTCTTATATATCCACAAAAATCAAGAAAGAAAGAAGACAACAATATCCACACTACTTTTCACAAAGATTATTTGTTTATGATTTTTAAATATATATTCGTTAACTCCAAAAAGACCAAAATTAGCTAAATTCAAATGAAACAAAATGCAGATTTTAATAGGACATGTTTTCAAAACATAACAAACAGTCTGTTGTTAAAATTGAAATGCTGCCAGCTGTTTAAATATACTTTAGGATAATCTACAAAAACAAGGTATCATACAGGAAGTTTCATTCGTGGCGGCACAGTGGTTAGGACTCTCGCCGACCATGCACATGGTCCGGGGTTCAATCCCCTGCCGGTGCACACGTGATATCTATGGTCGGCCTGCAAAATTTGGACTACCAATATCACATGCTGAAAATTCCATAAGTGTAGCAAAAATACGGTGTGGAATGCATAATAACAACTAGATTACTATATAACACTATGATAAAAACCAGAGTATAAAGTATAGTGACTCAACCTAGTTACCTAAACCCCACTAGAGTTCAAGCACCGCAAATTCTTAAGCCACCAAGACACAATACTGCAGAAATGTTTTCTAAAAGATGCGTTATTCTAATAACAGATGACGAAAAGCTGTATACATCATGTTCATACACCAGTAACGACAGAAGACAAGGGCCAGGCAACAGATCGTTTATTGAGTTTTTATGTACATTATTATTCGTTGTTATCAGAAGAGAAGCAATGTCTTCTGATTGGTTGTTTTCTTGTTGAAGGTTATTCTGTCATCTCTTTGCGGCCCTTTCTTAGAAAATCAGGTCACACATATATGAATCATATTTGCACACATTAAGTCTACTGTGATTCGTTGGTGATTTCCTCAAGGTTAAGCTTTGTTATTCTTTTTTCTCATGACCCCGATCCGGGACGTGAAAATTGACGTAAATTGTTGTCTACAATTTCGGCTAGCAGACAGTCCTTACCACACACACACACCACCTTCTTCACGTATCATGACGGCGATTAATTTGCCACAACGCATGCTGTAAAATGCTTAACTCTCAGCAACCTACTACTTTAACTAAATCTTTTTTTCTCTTCCCGTTTCCAGTGGAACATAGGGCTTCAAGCTACAGGCTTGAAGTTTCTATAGCACTGTTTATTTTTACAGGATGGGGTTGCTAGCCTCATGCCCAACCTTTCCTCTTTACCAGTCTCACCACTGGCTTAGCAAGGTAAAGGAGTTCGTCTACCGGGAATTGAACCCCGGACCATGCGCATGTTTGGCGAGCGTCCTAACCGTTGTGCCATCAACGCAACTAAATCTATTGGATAATGACAATTTCGAATAAAGATTTACTTTTTAAAGTTTAGCTTCATAATCCTTTTTTTCTACAAGTAGTGAATACTGTAATCACTTAATTCTCTTCAGGAATTTTAAAGGAAAGTACTCAGTCGAAACATCTGTCAGCAGAGTTCTTGTATTAGTAGTAAGTTGACGTGCTGAAACATGAGAAGAAATAATTTCTACCAACCAGTGGTGTTTAGCTAAACTAATCCAATCAGCTATTTTCTATATTAAAATTTTTCTGATTGCTACTGCTCTGAGCTTCAGTAATGATGGTGTTTTTTGTTGTTGTTTAAAGTGGCGGAGTCGCTACTCTCATGCCCAACCTCTCCTCTTTATCGGGCTTACTCACAGGCTAATAAACTAAGTGTGGTTTTGGAGTGCATTGGATACGAATCAGATTTCAGACTACAGGTATGCTGTTCAATCACTATTAAACCACCCACCCATGTTTTAAATCTAATCACGACTCACTGACTGACTGAAAACCACTTAAGTACTTCAACTACTGTGAAGATCATCTAAAACACTGAATCTATTTGAGTAAACTCAACCAATTTCATTCTAATGGTCCACAAATAATCCTGCTATTATTACTTCCTTAAGAAATTTCCCACTATCGTTTAACTAAACCTGAAAATATACTTGACAGAAGCAACCAAAGAAATTCGAAACATAATTTCTAAACTCTAGAACCACTTTGATTCAGGTTGAGTTTAGTTACTTTTGATCGTTATCTAGAAAAAGTAACCACGATGTATGCTTTGTTCTATGTGTGATGGAGAAGATTCGTAACTCAAAGAGATGATTTTAATGTGGTTGTGTTCTCTGGGCTGGACAGTTTATTTGCCAAGCTTTCATTGTTCTACTAGGAAGCACCTTCAGCGCATACTTCATTTTGATGAAGTGAGCTTTTAGATTTCTCCACGAGTTTATTAGTCATCACTCCTAGTGACCCTGAACATGATTGGTTGTTTTTGTGTGTTTCCATACCCTATAGGCTACTTGTGATGGTATTGATTGTTTCCTTGACATGAAGTTTGAGTTTCTAAATTTCCACAGGAAAATCGCCCTACTATATATAGAAGACATTTTAGAAATCAGTGCAAAACTTTTTGGACTTTTAGGAATTTATGTCACACACAAACCAACAAAATCACTTCACTCAGTTCTATGTAAACCAAAAGACTGAACAGCCAAAGAAGATAAAACCAACGTCATGTACAAAATAAATTGTAACACCTGCGAAAAACACTACACTGGCCAAAGTGGACACCCCCTTCGTCTTCGTATCCATGAACATAAGCTAGCTGTCAAAAGACATGATATCTACTCCCTCATATCACTACATACAGACAACCACGGACATCAATTCGACTGGGACAACTTTCAAATATTAGACAGAGGAAACATCAAAAATGCTAGAGAATTTTTAGAAGCCTGCCTGGCATTCCAATGAATCGTCAAGCAATAGACACATTGACATAGACAAAATTTACCAATCAATAAGAAGGAAATCTCACACACACAAAGGGTAAAAGTTCAACTCAAGGAAATAATCAGTTCCAGTAAATGTAGACTAGAGAGAGTGAAAACACACAAAAACAACCAATTACGTTGAAGGCCATCAGGAGAGACAGCTAGTAAACTCCTGGAGAAATCTAAAAACTCACTTCAAGAAACTGAAGTATGCGCTGAGGATGTTGCCTAGTAGGAGGCAATGAAAGCTTTGTTATATTTAAGACTAATCATGTCAATTCACCTCAATTCCATTGAGTTATGACATTCTCAATATTCACTAGTGTTTATAAATCAAAATTTTAAACAATAATCCATATTTTTTTTCACTTTGAAAGAATTTCACTCCACAACGATAAAATTTTCGTTATCAAACTAGTCATTTAATATAAAAATTATTCGTTGTGAAATTTTTTTCTATAAGTGATGCAATCACATGTTCTTATACAGAAATTTGTGGAAAATGTGTCCATTTTCATAACACTAACTCAAATTTTCAAGTATTGGTTTTGTAAAAATTCTTGTTTGATTGCATGGAGGATTTAATCATAATTGAAAATTGATCTGGTGCTCACTAGAGACTGTCCCTATTCAGGCAGTTAACCTGGGATTCTATCGGAAAGCCGTGACCAGTAGGGTAGTACAGCAGGTTGAAGATGAGGCAGTGACTCATCGAAGAAGACATTGCGAAATGGTCGCGCTATGTCGTGAATTGGCAGAAGTTAAAATTCAAGGACCGTTGGGTCGGGTCTCATTGGCTTAATGGTCTACAAGCTCGCTGGGCTTGTACCCAGAAGCTCCTGGGTTCGATCCCTGGTAGGTGGTGCGTGCTGCTGAAGAGTCCCAAACTAGGATAACAGAAACAGCTGTCCAGTACTCCCAGCCGGTTTTCCAGTGGTTCTCTAACTTACTGAAATGATTGTTTTTCAATCGTTTTTCTCCATCAACTAACTCTATCTATTATGCTTTATTTATATTTCAGTATTTCATTTGATTGATCTCAACTACAGATAAATTTTTAAAATAAACGCAACAAATTAACACCTCAATTATGTTGACAACAGCATTAAATTTTCTCTCAGACAAACGAAAACGCTTTCATCGTTCGGATACAATGCCAATTTTTACCAATGATACCAGTTCATTTAAATTAAATTCAGATAATCAACTGGTTGAGAATGATGAACTATCCGTTAAAGATAAAGATTGTAATAACGAAGAACAACAAGAAGTGGGTATAGTTTCTGCCAGAGGTTATAAAAAAAGTAATGTTCATCATCAAAATCAAGTCACACTAGGCAAAAGTGTTTGCTATCAAGGAGGATTATTATTGTCGACAAAAAGCTGTGCAGCTGGCCGACAGTCAGGAAACGATGACAATGATGATTGTGATGACGATGAAGATGAGGAGGATGATGATGACGATGGTCACTGTGACAATGATGATTATAATACTAATTCAGCAAAACTTCCAACATTTTCATCAAATGAGAAGTACAATCTTGGACGAATAAAAATGTTGAATAAGCAACATCATTCAGTGAATAATTTAGATAAATATAAATTCCTGGACCTTGAAACAAACTTACAACGTCATCAAAAAAATCTGTCAAACAGTCCTCCTCGCGAAAACATTCCATATGGTCACTTATCTCATGGTTATAGCCTAAGTAATGTACAGGTTACGTCGAATCAAACTGGTTCAGAAACCAGTGTATTTTCATCAGCTAATCTTTTGAAGAAAGGTTTTGGTGGTGAGAACTCCACCTTGAAAGGCGGTAAAATTCACAATATCAGATTCATCCGTCCTCCAGTTGAATTAAATGAATCTCAACCGTTAATTTCAGGTGATCTCGATAACGAACAAATGTCTTATACCAGTTCAAAAACGAATTCATCAGGGAAGTCTAAGGTAGCCAAAATGCGAGCAAGAGCAGCTGCAAGAGCAGCAAAAGGCAAACTTAAACGCTCTAAGAGTAGTGCTTACATGTCAAGGCAATTTCGAAACCCACCTTTAGAGGATAGTAGCATAAGGGGACGCTCTTCTAGTACCCATCGTAAATCTAATAATAATAATCTTCAGGAAAATCAATCACTACAAAATTCCACTGAAAACAAATCACGCTCTGGTTTAGTTAGAGGTTGGATTGATAAAAATGCTTCCACGAAATTAGATTCATCACTTCAAAGTAACATACAAACTGGCAATTTAAGTGAGATAGTGGATATTAGTGAAGGCTTTGATCAACTTATAAATAAGGCGAATACGTACAAATTTCAAATTATTAATGCATTAGAACATTCCAAATCACTTACAGAATCAAAAGAGATTAGCAATGAACTCCAAACTGATCAAAAAACATCTTGTTTAACAGATAATCAGTATGCGCCTAAAATCTTGTCAAGCAGACAAGTTATTGCCTCAACAAACAGTACCGTTAAACCTAATCGATATTCTGTTGTCAGAAAGCTGAGAAGAAACAATTCTAGCATAACTTGTTCTAGTGAACAAATATCAACCTTACATGAAGATCAAAGTATTGTGTCTACAAACTCTACAGCTGGTGATCTATTATTACCCTCAAAAAATTATAAAACAGATAAATTTACTTTTGAAGAAAAAGATGAAAATGCAAAGAATTTAATTGTAAAATTGTTTACTATTATAAAATATGATGATTTTGATCAATTTATAAAGCTGCTTGATCACTATCAACGATTAAGTGAACCTAGTCTACGGCAAGTTCAAAAAGCCACAAATGAATTCGGCTTAAGCGCATTGGATAGTGCTCATCTAACATCCTCCCTACCATTAATCTCATGTCTATTAGTCTGTGGTTTTTTACCAGGTCCTGTACTTCAACCAATTTTAAATTCAAGTACAAAATCTTATTCACATAAAATAGACACAATGGGTAGATATTTAGAAAATTTACTGGAAGAGAAAGAAATTCAACTGACTAAGTATAAAGTTGAGACAAAAAATGCAATTTTACGAGCAAATCATCTATCCAAGATTGAAATGCAGAAAGATTTTAGCAGTTCAATACAATTAAATCAACAATGCGAACAATTTAATAATAGTAATAACACAATAGCATTCGCTGAAGTTGCTATGAGAGAGAAAGAATTACAGGCTATGCTGGAGGAATATGATTATCTATCTAAGCTTATTGATAATTACAGCAAATATCCAAGATATACTAAACCTCCGAGTAAGGTGAATATCTTTCTTAATTCTTCAAATTCTATATTAATTCGAATAACTCCACCAAAAAATGATAGATTCACTGAAATCAGTCTTCAGAATTCAACTGGTAAAGCTACTAGTGATGATGATAATAATAATAATGATAATAACCCTTTAGGAGATACCAGAAGTGAATATGAGATCAACTTTGATCAGAGTTCATGTGATTCAACTGATGATAATAATAATGATAATAATGATGATATTAATCTCATTCAAGATTCAATAAATGAAGGAAGAAAAATTAATGATGTAAATAAAATTCATTCAAATAATTTTATTTTACGCTATTGTATTGAATGGTCTACATGTCCGAAATTTTCTAATTCTCAAGTGTACAGTTATCTAGTTCAACCGCCTATTCGTATCAATAGACCACATTCACAAGCAATAAATAAAGTTAATCAGTCTACTTCTCTACGTGTAGGCTTCTATTGTATCAATAATCTACCTGAGAATAAAATGATTTTTATTCGCGTATTTGCTTTTTCAATCCGTGGATGGTCTCAACCATGTTATGCTTATCCTAAGGGATTAGTATTATCATCATGGATAACTAATAAAATTTGTGATTTATATCGTACTACAATACAACGGGATAATTCTTTATCCTTATCCTATACAAAATATGTTGGAGGCACATTGGATGAAGAGATTTCTACAGTTAAAAATCATTTATGCCAACAACTTTCATCGTGGGCACATAACTATCCAGTGAATTCAAATGTCAACTGTAATACTGCGAATCCAGCAGCAGCAGCGACAACAATAACAACAGCAGTGGCGACAGTACCATCATCATCGTCATCAACTACAACAACAACAACCACAACAGGTGTTCCGGTCAATATTTCTGAAGAAACCACTAGTAAACGGACGAAATCACCAATGTTACAAAGAAAGCGTTCATTTCGATTTCCATTCTCTAATAAAGGCTTGAAATTTATTCGACAAACTAAATCTGGTGTTTATCTAGCTGTATTATATCATACGCCAACAATATCATCCAATATAACATCATCAAATGAATCAGAAAAATTTAAATACAAATCAAAAATTGTCCTAGCTGATGACTACATTCCAATCTTGAATATCTCCCGAGAAGATCAAACCAATGAGTCAGTATTAAATTCTGATTTTAATTGGCTATCGCGAATTGTTTCTGATTCATTCTACGATATGGATATACAATTTTTATATGAAGATATACCGAATACTTCATTGCCGACAAATTTACAACTCCGGGTACGATTATTAGAAACTTTACAAAGATTAAAATTATTATTGGGTACATCAAATCTTGGCAGTATCTATCCAGAGATTATACGTGTACAAACAATTGATACATGTTTAACAAATTATTTAAAGCAACCTAAACATGAAACATTAGATAATTGCGAAAATGCATCAACACCAAAAGTATCCACTGAAACAAATGATTCAACTACTACTTCTACAAGTTATGAAAGTAGTATAAAACCAACTGCATCATTTTTATTTGTTCTTATCAAACAAATTAATAATCCAAGTGAAATTGTGCTTACTGGTAATCTAAGATGGTGTTATTTAGACAAATTTTTACGACAAAATAAAATTAAACTTAATAAGTTCTTTCAAACACATTCGAATATATTATTTTCAAATTATAGTATTAAAACAAATATGACTAAGAATATTTTACTGCCCACCTTGTATCCACATCTATTAACAACTCGTAATAATCAAGTATATATATCACCTGAATGTCAGTTGATTGCTAATTTAGACATACTCTTAGGTTATTCAGAATTGCATAAGCATCTTTTAGAACCAGGCTTATATGTTGTTCATGTACAAATGAAAGCGCATCTGGATCAACAAGCTGCAATACTAGTCTCGAATACACCTAGTGTAATACATATGCTACCAGCTGAAAAAATCCGTTCAAGATCACATGTAAGTTATAGTGAATGGTACAGTCTATGCAGATTAGTTGAGAAAACAGATGAAAAAACTGAAGAGAATTTTTTCAATTTTAAAAATTCAGATAAACGATTTATTATCCAGTTGATTAAAGCAATATTTAAATTAGCCAATCGTTTATGCTATGATATCAACGATATGAAAATGTTTCGTATATTTTTACCAGAAATTATAAGAATATCACCAGTACATGCATTTATTTTATTATTCCCGTCAATAGATCAAGTTTGTGTACCGCCAACATTGAATACACCGCCACCACCAACATGTTCATGGATTCCAATGACATATTTTGAAAGAAATTTAGGCCTTAATTATGATCCGCTATTTCATAATAAAATTCAACATTTAATATCACTTCTAGAATTAATAATTCCATTATCACAATTTGCACAAAGACAATGTTTAACAGAATCGAATTTATCCCAATTATCTGAAAGAACTCAATCCTTACAATCGATACAAACAAATCTAGAGAATATGTTTCAAACAAGACGATGGTTAAGTGAAACAATATCAGTTGGACGTGATCGTAAAAAATTGTTTCACTTTCATATTAATCTAGAACAAATTTTAAATGAATATCATAGCATTTTAAAAACTACTTTGATTAAACTAAATCTAGACTCTTTAACTGATGAAACAATTGAATTCAATAAAGCTTCAAGAATTGCTGAACCTGCTACCGCCTTAATGATTACCGATAAAACTAAACTAATCAGATCATCATCTGTACACAGTGATTTAGCCGATACTCTACCAACTTCTGAACGTGTAGATATAAACAATCTGCCTTCTTCACCAGCTGAACCAAAATATAAGGTAAGCAATGCAGTGATACAAGTTTATGCAGATTATCCAACAGGATTAACATCTGGTGTCTCTGTACGTCTGCTTATCAATATGCGTACTACAGTTAAAGAAGTGATAGAAATTGTTGTAAAACAGTTGTTAGAAACTGCTGAAAGAAAATATAATAAAGCAAGTGATAATTCAGAACTCTCTTCAGCTTTATCTTCTTTTGAAATGCTACGAAATAATACAGAAAGTAATTTAGAGAATCATTTATACTGTTTAACTGTATCTGTCGGTCAACTTGAACGTTGCCTACCAAATACAGTTCGTCTATTATTACTTAGAAGGCCATGGAGATTTGGGAAATTAACAATTCGTCTTGTTAACAATCTGTCAGAAAGTATATCACAACAAAAATTACCATCATCATCAAGTCAGGAACCCACCAGTCCATCTTCTGAATTAACAAACTTCCCTTCAGCAGTTGACAAAAGTATATCTCCATTAGTCAGAGTCACCTATGTTGAACCTAATCTTAAACAGGCTAGTATCACTTCACCTCCAGAGGTTTTACACTGAAGATCTTCTACGTCTTTTTGTTGCTCAATACAATTTTTAAAATATATAAATACACATATATAATAAATGCAAGATCTGTTTATATTTGAATACAATTATCTAATTATTTTAATTCGAAGTATTCAAACTCCTTGACAATTCAATGTTGTACATTTTTGTGTATTTCTGCAACCATCAGAATCCTCCACAACAACAACAACAACATAAGCAATAGATAGAAAAGTAGTAAAGGATAATAAATTAATTAATTAATAATTGTAATTAGTTAATTTATTTATTATCTAAATGTGTTACACAATCCTTTAGTCTTTCGTCAATTGACTTTCTGTTCTACCTTACTGTTTGTTTCTTTTCGTTGTTTTTTTAAATTTTTTTTTGTCTTTCTAATTTCTTATCCTTTGTATATTTCCAGAATATACTACTTTATTATTACTGAAGAAAAACAGGAAATACTCCTTTTTGTGTGTGTGTGTGCTTTTCGTTCTTTTCCAGGAAGGCGGTTAGTTGGTACATAATTCACATTTTACAGATTGTAAAATTACACTGGCCTTTTTAACTGTGTACTATTTCTAAAGGGTAATAATAATGATGATATAAAATTTTGTAATAAAAAAACGTTTTTAAATAATGCAGGTTTGTTTGTTTTTTAAGTAAAATTAATAAACCCCTTTGAGATATCAAGAGAAGGAATTCACAGAAGAAAATTCTCTTTTCGACGATTTCATTTTCATAGCTGTACAATAGTACAACAACAGACAATAACAGTCAGTTTCCTTGTATGTGTGTGTTAAAGTTTGACAGTGAGGGGAAATACTAAAGTGCTATAATAATATTGGTTGGAAGATTCCATCATGAGCTGACATCAGTCATAGAACCATTGGAAAACCAACTGGAAGTACTGGACAGCCAGCTATTTTGTCCTAGTCCACGGCTGTTTATCAGTGCGCACTCACCACAGGAGGTTCGAAACCACGACTTTCTGGTTACAAAGCCGACGAGCTAGTAGACTATTAAACCACTCACTTAGACCCGATCTAATGGCTCATGAATTCCAACTCCTACTAAACCACGACCGCTAGCCAACGTCTTCTGCAAGTATTTGTCCTCACACCCCACCAGAGGCATCCTACTGGTCTCGAAGACCTGAGGTTAAATACTCTCAGAAGACATTGGCTAGCGGTCACGCTATGTCGTGAATTATCAGGGGTTGGAATTCATGAACTGACCATTGGATTGGGTCTCAGTGAGTGGCTTAGTGGTCTACGAGCTCGCTGGCCTTGTAACCATAAGATCATGGTTTCGAACCTACTGTGGTGGGTGTGCCCTAGACTGGGACAAAATAGCTGGCTGTCCAGCACTCCCAGTTGGTTTTCAAAGGGTTTTTAACCGATGTCAGCTGATAATGAATTCCTGTAACCAATCAATCAAGTCCCTTCAAACGAATACTTGAAAATATAAGAATATTGGTGTATAGAACTATGAGTAACAATTTAATAGATATGTAAATGTATAACTAAATAAACATAAGTCAACCTAAAGTTCAATAAACATGCGTGAAACTGATTATCGGAAAATAAAGCATATTCCTAAATGGCTCCAGAAGCAAATACAATCCCCAGGACCCATTGATTGTGAGAACAGGAAAACTAGCTCCCCCCCTATTGAGAAACATATAAGAGAAACAAAACATATAATTGATGTTTACACGTATTATAAACCTATCTGTAAAACGTGTTTCGGGAGTATCCTAAAGTTTATGGAAGCCCTAGATGACAATTAGAAAGTTCATAACACGTTTATGCGTTCAAAAACAATTCGTCATCACACTAAACCTACATTCCTTCGTAAACTTTGTTTTGATACCAACCACGGTGGACGTACTAATACCTGTGTTATTTGGTTTAGTGATGTTCATGGTTATTTGGCCTTCAAAATGTCCTTTTAACTTGACCTAAGTCTATTTTCTCACCAATTAACTCTCTATTAATTTCATATTTATTTCGTATGACAAGTCCGTGTGTGTTGAGTTTGTTCGAAATGGGTGTTGGGCGAATACATTACACGAATCAAACCAATTACATCTTCTTATTGCTTTGTCTAAACAAAGTGTAACAACAAAAGACAAAGGCCAGGCAACAGATTGTTTATTAAGAAAATTAACACATATTTATAGATTTTCATGTACATTATTATAGATTATCGTTAACAGAAGAACACAGTCTTCTGATTGATTGTTTCTCACTGAAAGTTAACCTTGCATCTCTTTGTGGCTGTTTCTTGAATGTCAAAACATCTTTATGTTAACTGTATCCGCCTACGCAAAGTCTTTGTTCTCATTTTTCTCACGACCAATATTTGGGACATCAACGTTGACGTAAATTACTGTCTACCAACTTTGGCTAGCAGCCAGCTGTCACCACAAAAGTACATTCAGAAATGTGAATACCATGTGATGGAAACATAGGATGAATGAAATATTGTCAAAGTCGTAAATATTTCATCATTGATAGGTTCAGAGGATTTGATTCGCTTCTGGAGCCATTTAGGAATATGCTTTATTTTTCGATCATCAGTTTCACGCACGTTCATTAGACATTATATTGACCTCTATTTATCTAGTTATTCACTCACTAATCTAATCAATTGTGACTCATAATCCTATACACTAATATCATCGCAAGCTTTCTAAGCAATAATTGGTAGTAATCACTAGTCAGCGTGACGTAATATAAACCACTGTTTCTAGTTCAATTCATTATTGATATAAACATCCAACCGAAAGTATAACCATCCTAATGACGGTGGTAACTGGTGGCAGAACTGGGTTTTTCTCTCGGTGAAATGATGCACACTGATAGGAAAATACAAAAAGAAATCATACACTGAAGTCTCAGTTCGCAAAATGTAACCATATTCTAGTACTTTTGTCTTATCTTCTTGCTTTTTGCATACTGTTTCATAATGGATGCTTACTTCTCCTCTTCTCAATTTAATATGCTGCTCTGCTATACAAGATTCTTCTAGAAGGTATCGAACACAGTACAATAATACTACTTATAAATTCTTATCAGTAGTACATTCCACATGGGTTCAGTCTTGCTATTCCTTCAATTCATTGTTTAGATTATGCCAAGTTGGTTTGGAGTATTGTCCAGGGAGACATGAAGTAATCAAATAACTAAACCACTGATAACTCAGAATTACAAATACTTCTCGCGCATTTTTTGACATTATTACTTTTAATTTCTCTTTAACTGATCTTGTTGGATCAGAATGATTGATCTCAGTTGACATGTTTAACTCTTAGTACGGACGTTTCGACGGTGAGTTCAAAACAGGCTTAAAAATAGTAACAAAAAAGGTGGCTATCGTGATTCATTAACCTAGTGTATAATACTTCAGCTTTTGAAACGATTAATGATGAGATCGAGTCTCCTTTGAAACATCAGCAGTCACTGAGGATGCAGGTACATCCCAAATAAGACGAAGAAAGCGTCCTGGACTTTACTGTTAGTCATTGTCGACCAAGTATCTGTTTAAAAATCTTCCTTCAGACTTAAAAATCATTCATAACTGACAACACTGTATTTTTTCAATTTTTATACTAAATGACACCAACGCCTTACCCAGCATCTCAAGAAAAATAACATTAAATGCATAGTTAAGTGATTAGAGTGAATCCATATTTATACTTATGCAGAAGTCACAATGCTTTGGCGCTGTTGCATTTACTTAGATAAATAGCCCAGTTGTTAAACTTTTATTACCTTCATGTACAACTCTTTCAGTCCTAACTTCAAGACGAAATTAGTTTCTTTGTCGTGTGTTTTGTCACAACGGGGAATAATATGTCATTACTATTCTCCTTAAGTTCCGACTGGAACAAATGAATCCAACAAAACATCTCCAATTTGTCCTATTCTCAGCAGTTCTCTTTAGATGGCACCACAATTGCTAATAAACTCTCATCTCATGTATTTCACCCTTTAGACGCCCAAATCGTTATTTTTTATTTTGGGTTCCACTCGAGGGCTTAGCGTATAATCTCACACAATGGTCTCTTCTGTGTGTATGTATAGATATGTCTGACCCGTCTTCTTTGACATATTTTTAGGGGCGATTTAGTCTGGGTTGACTTGTTTCCACAGTTTCTTATTGTTAGTACTTTCTGTTTAAATTTAGAACAGTGTGATTTATCCTAAAGTACAGCAAAGAAAGAGATGAGAAAGAGAAGCATTCAACAGATGAAAAGAAGAAAGTGTTCATTTGCCTCCCATAAAAAGGAAAAACAGTATCATGCTCTATAAGCCAATCGAAACTGGATAAGTACCCTGCTGATGTTACCTCCAACTGCATTTATAAATTTACGCGCACCTGCGAAAGCAAGTATATTGGAAGGACAGAAAAAAGCACTTCCACCCGGTTTTCAGAGCATATTCCGAGAAACTTATGCTTAAAAGGAAGCAGATATTTACAAAGTGTAATTACCAAACAGATACCCACCCTGTGGATACCGGTCATTTTATCGAGATTTCCAAATCCTTCAAAATATTAAACATACAAAGGACAGCTAGTCTGCTACGATTTCCTGAAGCAGTTACAGCAATCAAAAGTCACAGACCAAACTTATGCACACAGAAACAGAGTGTAGTCAATCTCTCTCTCCCTCGGTAACCGTGTTACTTTCATTACACTGATTAGTCATACACACTGGTGAGCTCAACTCAGCTTACTAAACAAGTCTTCAATCTGATTAACTTTAACCTTCTGGAGTTGACATGTTGACACTGTTTATTATATTTTTCTGTTTTCTGTCTTCTCTCACCCCACCCCGCTTTTTCGTTCATAGTTTGATAGTATATAAAATTGATGGTAACTTAAACTAAAGATTGTAAAACTCACATTCCGGATGCGTTCATCTTATAATGTTTTCTCAATTACCTTCCAAACATTGAAGTAAGAAATGTTATTATTTATAACCATTGTAATTTCAGGTAGTTTGCAGCTGATGAGAACCTGTGTAATAGAATGATGATATCATTTTATACTGCAAATCTGGTCTTTCTTTCGCTATCGAAATGTGATAATAATTTTGTCAATAGAATAACACTTAAGTAACTGCTTTGTGAATAGACAATGCCCTTGAGTGGAACCCGAAAGGGAAGCGGCGAGTTGGTCGTCAGTGCGAGGGTGACTTGGAGGAGGTCATGTGAAGAGGAGATGAAAACGTGTAGGCAGACTTGGAGTGGGGTGAAAAAATTGGCAGAAACCTGAACGCGATGGAGACACGCGCAGCTGAAGTCCTATGTTCCTCTAGGAATTAAAGGATATAATAATAATAATAATTTAATCTTCTTAGCCTAAACAGTAGTCAACTGATTAACTCTCAAATCCATCGACAAAAGTCGAAAACTACGACGTGCCAATTATGTTTGTAGTTCAATTGTTCCTGTAAGTATTGTTATTAGCTAAAAATAGGCGGATTATCTACATAAATGTCATTCTTTCCTTCACACAGAAAAGAAAACTTCTACAGATACTTTACAAATATGCTTTTTTTTTCTTTTGTGTGTGTGTGTGTGTGTGTAAGTAACTTAACATGCAGAAATATTTGTAATTTCCAC